GGGGGGGAATATGCCATGGGGAAGTTGAACCCTTCCAGAACATGCCCCCAGGGACCCATCTCCTCCAGCCCTGCCCTACCTGCCTACAGTTACCACCTATCAGTTCATTCAAACTAGGATGGACTGATTAGCTCTCACAACCAATCATTTCATCTCTTATTCCTGCATCAACACAGGAGCTTTTGAGGGATACTTCATATCCAAACCATAGCACTTCCCTTTCCCTCCCTCCTCCATTCCCCTACTTTATTGGTTTCCCTTCTATTATCATGAGTTCCTCCCCATCTTTCCCCTGCCTTTTTTTTCTTTGTAGCTTCCAGGTGAAAGAAGACATATAACCCTTGACTCTGTTTGCCTTACTTCACTTAACAAAAACTAGCAAAAATGTTTTGGATGTTCATTCACATTGCAGCATGCATCAGTAGTTTGTGTGGATAAACCATGCTGTGTGTCCACTCATCTGCTGATGGACAGCTGGGTTGTTTCCACAGTCTGACATGTTACTTGTTAATAATGTTGCTGTAACATTGGTGTGCAAGTTGCATAGACCCACCTGGCAATTCTCTCAGGTACACACCTAGAGTGGAATGTTCAACAGGGAGCACCCACTAGCCTGCTTTCCAAAGTGAAGGCATGGTTTGGTGTTCCCACCAGTAGCATGTAAGGACTGCAGTTCCTCCACAGCCCCCTATGCTTATTTCAGCCATAAAGGCATGTGAAATAGGACCTCTCTCATTGGGTGTGGGATTGCATTTTCTTCACAGTGACCAGTGAAGTCGACATCTTTGTGTAGCCATGTATTATTTAAGCACACATTCTGCACCCTGGGCATCTAGGGATTGTCACTGGGCTAGGCTTTGGGGGTCACTGGGGTGAGCCAGACAAACACAGCCCTGCTCCCTCATAGCTACAGCTCTGGAGGTACAGCCATGGGAACCAACAGGTAACTGCTGAGAACATAGCTCTGGGAGATGGCCCACCATTCAGAAGTCAGAGGTTCTGAATGAGAGCAGGGGTCATGGGACATCTTCCAGACTATCCGGGAATGTAGTGTTGTACATGTGACTGCTGGAACAGGGTGAATTGGTTATAACCATAATTCATTCTGAGATTGGCATCCACAGAAATGGTAGATTCCAGGGGCAACTGACTCCATGGCCCAGGGCTTTGTGCGTGTCCCTCATCAAGAGGCAGCTCGTCTTAGTGCATCTACACAGAAGGCAGAAGGGCAGGTGATATGAGTACCAGAAATATAGGTTTATTGACTGTCGGTTATGTTAATTATAATGTGTGTGTTGGATAAAAGATTATAAGCAATGTGCCCATGATGTAATGGGCAGAACTTAGATTTAAGTTGGTGATGTATGAGTCTACACTTCAGACCTCACCCAGTTACTCATCCGCCCCGATCCAGTTCCAGCAACCCGGATTTAAGACACGTCACAGGTGAGCTTCTGGGACCCTTGGGTGTAGACTTAGTACTTAGAATTGGGACGTGTGTCTGAAGTGTGATGAGCATCAATAAAATAGGTTTGACTGAATCTAGCTGCGCCTCCACTAAGTCCATAATAAGCGCTCCTGGCAGCCCGCGGGTTCTGGCACAGCCACACCCAACTGCGCGTCTTGCAAAGGCCGGCGCTTAGCCCTGTCTTGCGTCCACTGCGCCGCTGCGAAGACCAACGACCGAGAGCTCTGGCTGCCAGCTCCTCCCCGGCCACTTCCGCCCCTGGCCGAGGAAGGCCCAAGCTGCGCCACAGGAGCTGGTCCGCCCGCCCGCCCCGCGCCCAGGCCTGGCAGCCCCTGCTCCGGCGGACCCCGACGCGCACATGGACGCACGGACCTCCGAGGGTCCCCACGGGGACCCGCTGCGGGACGCGGTGAGTGGTCCCGGCGGCCCGGACAAAGCAGCCAGAACCCGTGCCTCTTGGAGGAACGCCCCCACCCCTTCCTGGAACCCGTGAAAGTCCTGCCCACCGCTGGAGCCGGGCTGGTTTTCAGAGCCCCGCCCCAGGAGGGTGACTTTGGACCCTCGGAGTCTTGCGCGTCCCTCCTGCCCTCCTATTTGCCAAAACAGGTTCCAAGCCTGGAAGAGGCAGATAGGTTTACCCTGTTAAAAAGAATTTGCTACATGAACAGACTGCATTTTCCTGACCAAGGTAGACGCCCCTGATTAAAGGAGCCAACTAGAGATAAGGATGGCAGATCCGCAGTGAGAAGGCAGACTAGGGGTGCTGGTCCAGTGCTTCCCCCGCCAACAAATACAGGGGTGAGGGCTCAGGTCATAAATTATTTAACGTGCAAACTAGAGAGCAGCGCAGAAACGTGGAACGCTAGCTGTAACGATATTCTGCGCAACCTGGCTGATATACCAACTACAACAGCAACACCACCAGCTGGCGAACACCCATAGTGAGGAGGATTCATAAGCTGTGAATGGCTTCAGTTCCCTGGGGAGCTCTTGAGAGTGACTGAGGCTGATCCCTGTGCTCCTCTCTAGACTTGCACTTCAGCTCTCAGAGGGTAGGTGTGTGCTCGTTGCGAGTTAACTGTGTCGTGTACAGATGCAGTTTTGCACAGCCATCTCTTTCTGGTGCTTGGCACCTTTGTCAAAAGTCACTGGAGCCCACGTATTCAGTACCTAAACGTTTTGTATTTTCATTTCTCTAAACTGTAGGGCCAAACAAATGAAAAATAAAACTATTCAAAGATGCAGGGGAAAAAAAACTGGAGCATGTATGACGGATTACTTCATTAATAATAAATGTTGAGTACTTTGTGGTTCCATTTTCCAGGCAGAACATCTACTTCAGGAACTTCAAGAACATTTTCAAGCTCTCACTGCAGCATTAAACCTGAGAAATATCCTCTTTTCTCTTTGGTAAACACTAATGCTTTTGGACAGGAACATCTCATTGTCTTCTGCTGTGGACAAATAGTTGTTTATTTGGATTCTCCAGTATTTACACTTGCCCTTCTAAGGGGCTTTTCCTATGCTGTCAATGCCAGAGGTCTGTGGCAAGTGTGAAGTTCAAGGGCACCACTCTGCTCCTGACCACCTGATCTGCAACACTTAGAGGACAGTGCTGAAGACCAATAGGAAGCTAGACACTGCTGTGCCTTGACTTCCCCAGCTCACGCTTTTATTTCAGAAACACAAAATGTTACAAAATTAACACAGAATGTTTCCAATGAGTAAGTTCAGGTAAGGGCAAAGAGTGCCTTAAAATTTGCCCAATTTGAGCTCACTTTATTCAATTAAATGCATTCCTTAAACATTGTGCAAAGTATTTGCATTTGGAAGTGCTTACCTGCAGCTTTTGATTTTGAAGATGGGTTCCCAACAAGGTAAAACATGATAACATGATAAAGTAAACCATAGAGTTGTTTTAAAAGTTAAATTTCCATTATATTATGCTCAGAGTTTGGCAGGTTTAAAAGCCAAGTTTCTCACTTCAAGGTGCACACTAAAAGGGACTCAGGAGGCAGCAAATTTGCATTGACCCTTCATTTTACAAGTTCCTCTCTGTGGAGAAGGTATGGCCTTGAGGGCGTGTCTGTGGTCACTCTGCACCCCAGACCTACATGTGCAGTTTTCCTTGACGTGGCACTGGAAGACATGGGGAATCGCATAGAGGACTTACAGAAGAATGTGAATGTCCTAATGGAGCAGGCTGGGGTTGGAAATTCCACTGAAGAGCAAACAGTAAGTTCATCATCAGGCAACTGTTTGCCTTTTGCATATCTTTTAATTGCTTTCATCTTGAAAAATACAATCCCATATTTGTTCACTGTGCAAATACTGTTGCTGTATTACTGAAAAACCATTAGAAACAAGACATTTCCAAATGCTCTAATCCAATTATACCAACTGAAACACTCTTTTCCATAATTCCTTAAAAGTGCACATTTTAGATGAAAAATTCCTATTTCAAAGTTGGATTTTATTAGGGTACTTTTCATCCCTACTCCTTAAATTAGTCTTCAGCTAGAACACAAATCACAGTGAACTAGAGACTGGGATTATAACTAGTAGTTCCTGTTTAGATAACTTATCCATGTCACACACTGAAGTCCTATGCACAGAAAGTCCTTAACACATTTCCTGAGTGGCCCACAGTGCGTGGGTCACCCCACAATGGGAACTTTCCTATGCTAATGCAGTCTTGAGGATGCAAACAAATTCCTAGCTCCAGGTCTGAGACCCGGAGAGTAGCTTTATTAAGGTAAGTATGCATATTACCATGACAGTACACCAACTGTGACCATCTTTTCATTGAACAATTTAAAGGCCTTTGTTTACTCACAATTGCTATCCTAAGTTGGATATCAAATTATGGCAAATTATCCCTTCTTGTCCTGCTAAATTATAGTTGCCTCTGTCAGTGACATTAATTGCAGTAAGTTATTCTAAGCAGAGTCCACACTGATGCCATTGGACTAAAAAGGCCCTTGTATCATTTGTTTTTCTGAGTGCTAAATTTTGCCTACATAACAATGTTGTAATAATTATAAGAAATTAGGGTACTTTACTAAAAACTGTATTCGGATGTATTTACCTGTAAACTGGAATCCAGATCACCTAACTGCTTTCAAATTTTTTCTGACAGACCTGAAGATGTTATTGGACAAGTCCCGTGAAACCAATACAATGAACACTTTGAAGGAGTAATCATCTATGTAATATGGATTCTGATTCTCAGTTCTTAATTTTATTTTTTTTTTTGGGGGGGGGTCCTGGGAATGGAACTCAGGCCTCAGCATGCTCGGCCCTGAGTTGCACCTCCAGTCTATCAGAATTCTTTTTTTCCCCTTTTAGTTTTAATTGGATGCAATACCTTTATTTTATTTATTTTTATGTGGTGCTGAGGATTAAACCCAGCGTCTTGAACATGCTAGGCAAGCACTCTACCACTGAGCCACAACATCAGAATTCATTTTAACAAATAAAAAGATTAAAAGAGGGCTGGGGATGTGGCTCAAGCAGTAGTGCGCTCGCCTGGCATGCGTGTGGCCCGGGTTCAATCCTCAGCACCACATACAAAGATGTTGTGTCCACCGAAAAATTAAAAAATTTCTCTTTAAAAAAATTAAAATAAGAATTCAAAAAGTGGTGAACTACTTACCACAGATAGCTGCAAACAATGGAGAAATATTTTTTCAGTGCATAGCATTTACAAATAATGGAAGAAAAGCATATGCTGTATGAATACATGAATACTTTTTCCAAATTAAAATTCTACATGGATCTTTTAAGGATCACCAGCAGTTTTCTATCGGGCTTTGTTTTTTTTTAAAGTTAATTTATTTATTCTTGGGCTGGGGATGTGGCTCAGCGGTAGCACGTTCGCCGGGCATGCGTGCGGCCTGGGTTAGATCCTCAGCAACACATACAAAGATGTTGTGTCTGCTGAAAACTAAAAGATAAAAATATTAAAATTCTCTCTAAAAAAAATTTATTCTAATTTCTTACATGTAACAGCAGAATGCATTTCAATTCATACTGCACATATAGAGCACAATTTTTCATGTCTCTGGTTGTATGCGAAGTAGAGTCACACCACTCATGTCTTCATACATGTACTTGGGGTGATGATGTCTATCTCATTCCATCGTTTTTCTTACCCTCCTCTCTTCCCCTCCCCTCTACCCTATCTGAAGTTCCTCCATTCCTCTCATGCCTCCCGCCATCCCTATTATGGAACAGCATCCTGATAACAGAGAAAACATTCGGTATTTGGTTTTTTGGGGATTGGCTTACTTCACTTAGCATAATATTCTCCAACTCCACCCAATTACCTGCAAATGCCATGATTTTATTCTCTTCTAATGCGGAGCATTATCCAACTGTGTAAATATACCATAGTTTCTTTACCCATTATCTATTGAAGGGCATCTAGGTTGGTTCCACAATTCAGCCATTGTGAATTGTATTGCTATAAACATTGACGTAGCTGTTTTTAGGTCGTTTGGGTATAAACTGAGGAGGGTAGTTGGATCAAATGGTGGTTACATTTCAAGTTTTCCAAGGAATCTTCATGCCACTTTCCATATTGGTTGTACCCATTTGCAGTCCCACCAGCAATGTATGTCTTTTCCCCCATAACCTTGCCAACACTTACTGTTGTTTGTATTAATAGCTGCCATTCTGACTGGAGTGAGATAAAAATGTTAGAGTAGTTTTGATTTGAATTTCTCTAATTACTAGAGATATTGAATATTTTTTAATGTATTTGTTGATTGATTGTATATCATCTTCTGAAAAGTGTCTGTTCAGTTCCTTGGCCCATTTATTGATTTGGTTTGTTTGTTTTGGTGTTTAGCTTTTTGAGTTCTTTATATACCCTAGAGATTAGTCCTTTATCTGATGTGCATGTGGTAAAAATTTGCTCCCATTCTGTACGCTCTCTATTCACCTGATTGTTTCTTGCTTAGATGATGATTTTTAGTTTGAATCCACCCATTTGGATTCTTGATTTTATTTCTTGCATAATAGGAGTCTTATTAAGGAAGGTGGGGCCTACTTTTTCTTCTATTAGGCACAGGGTCCCTTGTTTAGTTCCTAGGTCCTTGATCTAATTTGAGGTTTTTTTTTTTTTTTTCGTATGGTGATAGGGGCTCAACTTCATTTTGTTGCATATGGATTTCCAGTTTTCCCAGCACCATTTGAAGAGGATATTCTTTCTCCAATATATTTTTGGCACTTTTGTCTAATATGACTGTATTTATGTGAGTTTGTTTCCGTGTCCTCTATTCTACACTATTGGTCTACAAGTCTGTTTTGGTGCCAATACCACACCGTTTTGCTACTGTTGCTCTGTAGTACAGTTTAAGGTTTGGTATAGTGATGCCACCTGCTTCACTCTTCTTGCTTTAGCTATTCTGGGTCTCTTTATTTTTCCAGTGAATTTCATGACTACTTTTACTATTTTCTAGGAATGTCATTGGGGTGTTAATTGCAATTGCATTAAATCTGTATAGTGCTTTTGGTAGTATGGCTATTTCGACAATATGAATTCTGCCTATCCAAGAACAAGGGAGATATTTCCATCTTCTTAGGTCTTCTTTAATTTCTTCCTTTAGCATTCTGTAATTTTTATTGTAGAGATCTTTCACCTCTTTCAATGATTCCCATGGTTTTGGTTTCTTGGTTTTGTTTTGAAGCTATTAGTTTTCCTAGTTTCTCTTTCAGAGGATTTGTCACTGGTGTACAGAAATGCCTTTGACTTATGGGTGTTGATTTTATATCTTGCTGAATTCATTATTAGTTCTATAAGTAGTCCGGTGGAATTTTCTGGATCTTCTAAGTATAGAATCATATAATCAGTATACAGTGATAATTTGAATTCTTTTCCTATCCGTATCTTTAGTTTGTCTAATTGATTAGCTAGAGTTTCAAGAACTATGCTAAATAGTGGTGGTGAAAGAGGGCATCCCTGTCTTGTTCCATTTTTTTTTTAAGAGGGAATGCTTTCAATTTTTCTTCATTTAGAATGATGTTGGCCTGGATCTTAGAATAACAGTTTTACAATGTTGAAATATGTTTCTGTGATTCCTCATTTTTCTAGTGTTTTGAATGAAGGGGTCCTGTATTTTGTCAAATGCTTTTTCTGCATCTGAGATGATCATATGATTCTTATCTTTAAGTCTATTAATGTGATGAATTACATTTGCTGATTTTCATATTGAACCAACCCTGCATCCCTAGGATGAACCCTGCTTGATTGTGGTGCACTATCCTTTTGATATGTTTTTGTATTTGCCAGAATTTTATTGAAAAAATTTGCATCTATGTTCATTAGAGAAATCGGTCTGAAGATTTCTTTGATATTATCTTTGTCTGGTTTTAGAACCAGGGTGATAATAACTTCACAGAATAAGTTTGGAAGTGTTCCCTCTTTTTCTATTTCATTTTTCATAATTTGAGGAGTATTAGTTCTTCTTTGAAGGTCTTGTAGAACTCAGTTGTGTATCCATCTGGTCCTAGGCTTTTCGTGGTTGATAGTCTTCTGATGGTGTCTTCTATTTCATTGCTTGAATTGACATGTTTAACTTGTATATATCATCCTGATCCAGTCTGAGCAAATCATGAGACTAGAAATTTGTCAATATTTTTTCTATTTTACTGGAGTACAAAGTTTCAAAATATTTTCTAATTATATTCTATATTTCTGTAGTGTCCATCATGATATCTCCTTTTTCATCACAGATGTTAGTTTTCTTTCTTTCTCCTGTTATCATGGCTAAGATTTATCAATTTTATTTCTCCAAAGAACCAACTTTTTGTTTTGTCAATTTTTTCAATTGTTTCTTTTGTCTCAATTTCATTAATTTTAATTTTCTATCTTCTACTGCTTTTGGTGTCGATTTGTTTTCTTTCTAGGGCTTGGAGATGCAACATTGGATCATTTGTTTACCGTTTCTTCTTTTAAGGAATGAACTCCAAGGGGTTGGGGATGTGGCTCAAGCGGTAGCGCGCTTGCCAGCCATGCGTGCTACCTGGGTTCGATCCTCAACACCACATATAAAGATGTTGTGTTCGCCAAAAACTAAGAAAAACAAATATTAAAATTCTCTAAAAAATAAATAAATAAAACAAAAAGGAGTGAACTCCATGAAATGAACTTTCCTCGTAGTATTGCCTTCATAGTGTCTCAGGGATTTCAATGTTGTATCAGTGTTTTCATTTACCTCTAAGAATTTTTTTAATCACCTCTTTGATGTCTTTTGCAACCACTGTTCATTCAATAGCATATTATTTAGTCTACAGGTGTTGAAGTAGCATCTATTTTTAATTTAATCATTGATGTCTAAATTTCATTCCATTATGATCTGATAGAATTCAGGGTATCTAATTTTTTTTTATTTGCTAAGTTGCTTTATGACATAATATATGGTCTATTTTAGAGAAGGATCCATGTGCTGAAAGTGATTTCAGACATTGATCGATAAAGAATTCTATCTATGTAAGTTATTGATTGTATTATTGAATTCTATAATTTCTTTGTTTAGTTTTTGTTCAGAAGACCTCTCTAGCAGTGAAAGAGGTGTGTTAAAATCACTTAAAATTATTGTGTTGTGGTCTACTTGACTCTTGAACTTGAAATGAGTTTGTTTGAGGACTGTAGATGCTACATGGTTTGGGGCATATATAATTGTTATATCTTATTGATGTATGGTTCCCTTAAACAGTATGAAATACCCTTCTTTATACCCTGTGATTAACTTTGGCTTGAAGTCTACAAAAGGGACTACAGTTTTTGATGGTGAACAAAGAACCAGGGGTGAGGTGTAGGATGACATGTTGAGGGTTTCTGTTGAGGGGTTAGGAGGTGAGGATGTACAGTTTTTAGATTTTAGAAAGTGTGAAACAGGAATCTAAAGAAACTGGTTAGTAGTAGAAAAGATAATTATCTGGGGGAGAAAAGTAAGTGTAGAGAGTAGAGTATAAATAAATATTAAGTAAAAATAGGAGATAAAAGAACATACCACACCGCTGTAATATACTATTCGGACATCTCATTCTTCAGTAGTCTAATTTGTGAAAAATGGTTGGTTTCACAAATGTTGGGGATGTAAGGACAGGAGGATCAAGGGGGGGGGACACTCCAGGAAGATACAAGGATTATTTTTGTTAGAGATCAGTATCTTTCCAGCTTCCCTTTTCATCCAATAGGCGGGGTTGTTGGGATCTCCACCCTCAGGATGATGAAGATTATTGGGGTGGGAGGGTTGGTCTTGGGATGTGGCTCCTAGAGGTGGTGTATAGTATTTGCTAGTCCCAATGGGAGACTGCAACCCAAGGATCT